TTTATTTATCGAAAATAAATATATATTTATAGTGCACTTCAGTACTCCAGTAAATTAAAGATAAAATAATTTCAGAAAGAAAACATATATCAATTAGGAAATGTTTATTTATTTAATTTTAAAATGGTTTCCCACTACCTTAACAAATTCAATGTTTGGAAATTCGTGTGCATCTAGAAAAACTTTATTAGTTTTGTCTTGTTAACAATTTTTTAAAATTAGATGAAACATTTCGTGTTTATATTAAGATTAATATGTGATGTGAGGCTGTATTATTTAAATAACTCTTTATGACTTTAAAGTGGCAATTAGCACTCAAGGTTGGAGGCAATTGATGTATAATTAGGAGGGAATTCGACATACCAAAAATTTGAACCCTAATTAAAAACAGGTATATGGGAGGGAACTAGGCATTATCCAAATAAACTGAAAAGGATGAGACCTTTTAGATAACATAACCGTGTAGCGTCCGTTTCTAATAGTAAGTATTATTAACGCGACACATAGACATTGGTGTTGATAATGCCCACATTAGAAATAGACGAAAACGTGGTAACTAGGATGAGTCTTCTTTTTAGTTTATTTATAAAAAAATATGATGAAACACATGTTCATATATTATGCGCAGGTGCTTCGTTTCTCCTGATTCATCGTCAGCTTAATTCTCAATAACAAATAATACATTCAAATACCCCTATACATATTTAACATAATATGTTAATTGTGATGTACATAATGGTCAATTTAATTATGCGTATTCACGTTTTCAACTTTTATAAATATAAATAAATAAATTATATTTACATTTCTGGAGGGTGTATACCAGTTGAATTGGTTTAAAATAAATAGAATATAAATTATACATTCATACTAACATACATACATACATAAATATATACATAAAAAATGTATACTGAAAGTTGAACTGTCACCCTCTAGATAGCTTACTAATAATAATGATTATAAGGCAATTTGATTGTGAATTGATTGAAAACTGATTGTTTAACATTAAAAGAAGCCTAATAGTTTAATTGTATTTCAGTATTTACAATACGCGCAATAAACAAATGAAATACTCTATTTATAGTACCTATTAGAAGTATTTATTTATAGGAAGCATATCCCTTGTATTTACTGGAACAATCTACAAATTGTTTTGTCGAATAATAATAATAATTCTTTATTCTTTTCTACTAAATAAATGATTTTTTTGTGTCATCAACTTATGCATAAATCATGAAATTCTTAGTTTAGGGATTAGTAAAAAGTAGACATACCTATCTGATATTTTGAATAACTAATAAACTTTATTTACAAAAAACATGAAAATACTCTAAGGTAAACGTTTAATATCTTTTTTGGAATGTGATTTTTCAAATTACATTTTTTACGCCTTTTCAATTATTTATAATTTTCTTGTGGTTTATGCAATGTGCAAATTAAAATCAATCAATATTTATTCACAATGAACGACTTATTATTATGCACTTCTGTTATCTGCAAAAATTAATAAATCTATCTAACATATTCAAAGCACTATATTCATATCGACTAATTTGCTTCAAATTTCAAATGTTTTGCCAATATTTATCGTTATTATTCTTAGTTTTTCACATTTTTTGGCAGATTTTGGTCTATACAACTTTTATTATTACTGCTACATGAACAATGAATTTAATGAAAATTTATTTTACCATCATTTTTCATAAAATTAAATGTCCCCATTTTTTGGAATAGTGGTGAAAGGGGGTGTGTGTGACCCGAAAACCGAATTTCATAATCATCACTACACCTTCCATATAATAAAAAAAAGTATTCACCTATTATTATCAGTACCTACACCTATAGGAAAAATGTTATTAGCATTACAAGTTCTTCCCCCCTATCAGTCATTGTGAGCTCAAAACTGCTTCGAGTGGTCAATTTGTTTAATCACTTTCTTTGAGTTAAAAATTGTTTGAAAAATTAAACTTAAAGGAATTGTTTGTAAATAGGCATGCAACACATCATACACTTCAGCATAAGAAATTGCTGATACTAACTACCTAATACTTCTTTGCTCTGTGTTGACAGCACTCATAATTTCTTTTATAAATAATATTTTGAATGTATTTCAAAAGTTTTAATGTAAATAAATTTATGTAGCAAGAACACTGGGATTGTTTTATTAAAAAGTAAAAATATATTGTTTCGCCCCTCGCGGGTCATTCTTATAGGGGGTATATGTATGTTACTTATCAGTGTTTTTATTGCTCAAATTTCTTTATGATAATTTTCAAAAATGTTTCACAGTGAATACGATACACATTCTATCCATTTTATTTCATAGATTGGTTTTGTTGTTTCAGAAAAAATACATACCAACTTACTGTTTTACAATTTGATTAGCCTTTGAGCAAATGTATTAAAAATGACTTGTAACTTTTAAGAATTAGTTTCTAATACAGATTTTATCGTAAGGCCAATCAGAACTTCTGTGCTACTATTAATGTATACGTAGGCAGATAAAGGGATCGCGTTTTTTAATGACGCAGCATTTAATGTGTATCGACATTAATTGAAACTATAAAAAAAAAGTAAGTCATTCTACTTGGCCTACAATTCGTTCAGGATTTGATCTGCATTTGGCACGAAAAAGAGGAGAAAAAAGTGAATGGTTCAAAAGTGCAATACAACAAATGTTGAGCTGGATGGCTAATGCCGAACTCTTCCTTTCATTTTCTTTCAAAGGCTGTCTTGAAATCTCGGTCAAAGATGGTATACAAGGGAACCAGCTGCTGCCAAATCCTCTCGCTTTAATGAGTGATGGTTAGTGATCAATTTTTTTAATTCATGCTTTCTATGGCATCTCATTAAAAAACACTTAGAAAAAAAAATAATGAAACTCAGAATGGGCGTATAAATAGTCAACCACGAACCATTTCTCAGCAGTTCAGCTCTTGCTTCCAATCCAGCAAGATTCAAGATGAATTCTCTTTATTCCACCGTCGTGCTTCTGTTATTGTTTTTCAATGCAGTGTTAAGTGATTCCCAATCGGAAAATGATACGGAAAGCTCGAGTAGTGATCGCAGTGACTACAAGAGGTCTCTTTTCGAGGATTGCAATTCTGGATTCTCATTTACGTGCATGAAATTGGAATTAGTGTCATGGGTAGACAAAATGAGTCAAGAAAACGAATACAATCTTATACCAGGAGTTTCCTTAGTCAGAGAAGCTAATGCAACTACCTCGAACACTGCAGAACTGATAGCGGAAATGGCTAAAAGTTTTCCAAGTGATCCGGATTCTCGGCTAAACATGGCCCTTTTCAAAAAGATTTCTGGTTTCCTGAATGGCCATTCCGTTAAAGTCAAATTGTTACCAGATGTTGAAACAGTTGCTGGTCGAGCAGGAGGTGGTGGTGGTCTTGGAGGCGGTGGTGGTGGCGGTGGCAAAAAAGGAGGCGGTGGTTTAGGAATGCTTCTTGCTGGAGCCGCTATGATGAAAGGTACACTATTAGCACTAGCCCTTGGAGCATTAGCTGCCCTTGCCGGTAAAGCCTTAATGACAGGTCTTATCGCCCTTTTATTGTCTTCCATTATTGGTCTCAAGTCTCTTACCAGTGGAGGTGGAAAGACAACTTATGAAGTTGTAGCTAAGCCAATTTACACTCACGAAAAGACACATTCAGTGTCTCATGAAGACTACCATGACCATGGACATGGTCATTACAGAAGAAGTTTTGATGATCTGCCATTACCTCTAGGACTTCAACCTGGTTACAAACCGTAGAATCATCAATTCTTCTGATTAACTTATTTATTTCTATTTATTGTTTTTCTGTATGCTATTTTTATCTGTTGTTTCTGTTATGTTATAGACATTAATAAATGTTAACTGTTTTGTTAAATATGTCTTGTTACTTTTAAGGCCCTATCATATTTATTTAATCGTAACGGTAAGAAAAAGCCGCAGGCAATTACATTATTAATAATTATTTATTATTCTTGGTGGAAGTGTTTATGGTGCATTATTCGTAAAATAACGATTATTATCGGTAAAAGAACAACTTGGGTACTAGAACACATGGGTGAGTACAGCCTTACATAATTTTATTTTAAACAAAAAATCGTAACCAAAGAATATAGATAGGTAAATGTAGCGTTACATTACAGCAGTATTGCCTGCTTACTAACAATTTTAATGGAATTCGCACAAGTGAATTTCCCAATTTCAAATTTCTACTACAGACGAATGTTTGTAATATTCACTTACTCCTACACATCTAGGGACACAGTTTGTAGAAGCTAAATTTAAATAGTGTAGAAGAACGTGGCAAATTCTACAGATTTCAGTATCTTAATTTTATTATTCCATTATGTTTCTTCTAGCTCTGGAAATCGACCTAGAATTTCTATTAGGATTTAATCAGCATCTGTACTAAAAATACGGAAAAAAGTGAGTAAATCCCAAAATTGAATATTACAATAGGTTAGATAGATACAGAAGTTAGCGGAGCACTCTTGCTTTCATTTTCTTTCGTACATAATTTCGAAAACTCGGTCAAAGAAGATGCACAAGGGGAACAACAGACGTCAAATCCGTTCGGTTTTAATAACTTAAGATATATGATGGCTAGTTATCAGTTTTCTTTCATGCTTTCTATTACAACTAATTAATAGAATAGACGAGTTAAGTACCAATAAAATAACGAAACTGGGAATTCATATATAAATAGTGGCCACCAACACGTTTATCAGCAGTTCAGCTCTTGCTGCCAATTACGCCAGTGCATACGCATTTAAATATCTCCAAGATGACTTCCTTCTGCTCCACTTGCATCCTCTTATCATTAATGTTGTTAAACGGAGTTCGAAGTGAAATTCAATCGGAAAACGCAACCGAAAATTCCACCAGTGATCGTGGTGAATACAAGAAATCTCTTTTTGAGAACTGCGGTTCCGGTTTTTCCCTTAGGTGCATGAAATTGGATTTAGTGTCATGGGTGGACAAGTTAAGTCAAGAAAACGAATACCACTTAATACCAGGTGTCTCTTTGGTTCGAGATATTGATAGTCCCCGTTCAAACACTGCAGAATTGGTAGCAGAAATGGCTAAGAGTTTCCCGAATGATCCCGATACAAGATTAAACGTGGCTCTCTTCAAGAAGATATCTGGATTTTTAAACAGCCACTCCATCAAGGTCAAATTATTCGCAGACGACGAACAAGTAAAAGGTCGCGGCAAAGGTGATGGTCTTGGCTTAGGAGGCGGCTCAAGTAAGAAAGGAAACGGACTGGGAATCCTTATTGCCGGTGCTGCCATGCTGAAAGGTACACTGCTCGCAATTGCCCTGGGTACCTTAGCCGCCCTCGCTGGTAAAGCTTTAATGACAGGGGTCATTGCTCTTGTTCTGTCGTCCATTATTGGTCTCAAATCACTTACTCATAAAGGAGGAAAAACTACATACGAAGTTCTTTCCAAGCCTATTTATAGTCATGAGAAGACCCACTCAGTTTCTCATGAAGATTACCATGATAATCATGGGCATTACGGAAGAAGCTTTGAAAACCTTCCTTTACCTCTTAGTCTCCAACCTGGCTATTCACCCTAGCCTATTTACTTCATCCCTGTAAATTGTTTACTCTGCTTATTTATTGTTTTATTTATTCTTATTCTATTACTGTTATTATATAGTACTGTTTTTTGAAATTTTTAATAAAAGATAGAAATTGTTACATAATAATTGAGATAATTTTTGACACCTTTGAAACAACGAACATCACCCACTATAAAATCATCGCACATATTGATTGTATGGTTATTATCATATTTTTTATCAATACTTAATCATTGGATAATACAAGAGAAAAGACAACATGAAAACAACGGGGCCAACACCTTGCGTGATTTCTACAACTAGTAATTTTCATATTAGAAAAAGATTTCTTACTTATTGTATGCATTCGTACTTATTAACGCAATCCATGTGAATTTACAGTTACACCTAATTAAATTGATTATCTCTATAATACAAGTTGAATGCTTTAGAATACTTTCAGCGTCTACTACAGATAAGTGTGTAATTATGTAGAAGGTCAGTTCGCAAGTAGGTTACTGCCAAGTATCTTATTAATAAGAAGAAATATGAAAATGAATCACTTTCTTACTGGACGACCGATACTTTTACTTCTAATTATCTATGTGAACTCGGTTGGATTAGTTCAGTTGCCCCCTTCTTTAACGAATAACGGGTTAGCCGCAAAAATTATTCTTTCAGAAATCATTTGTTGCTTTTTGTTACTTGGCTATAGAAAGGTAAGTTGTTTGGACGTTTCTTCATAAAAGTAGAAGAGCTTCGCATACCAGTTACGAAAATCATGAACGATTAAATTCAGAACATAGTTTAGAAAATTCCGTTTTCTTAGTATGAATACGAAAAAATATTATCTTCAAAAATAGTACGAATAAAAAATAGTGACTGTAAAGAATGAGGGTCAGTTATAATCACTAATACATAGATTGTGGGTAGGTAGTAGTAAACATCTGAATAAAATCTAAATTATGACTATAAAACACATTTAGTTTACGACTTAAAGCACTTCTATTTCACCGTTCACAATTCAAGTTTTAACCGTTGCTTATCTTACGATCAGTTAATGAAAAGTTATTTGATCTAAATTGCAACAATTCCTAACAGCATCAACAATTATTTATTTAACATATTATTTGCTTTTCTAATTACTTGAAAAAATTCTTTCATTTCTTATGAATCATTAAGTCACATGCTGAATACCAAGCAAATTACCAATTAAGAATAGAAAAGATCATGAATCGGAACGTACTTCCTTTAAAACTAACTAAAGCAGACAAGCCAACTTAAGGACTTCAATATATATATATATANTGTCGAGATGCCTTAAGACCCCTTGCTTTATATTTTCAGTTTTTGAAAAATGTAAAGTCTGACATAATTTGCATGTACGTATGGATAATAAAAACTGCAAATTAGCAAGTATTAACTTAACTAAGTAGTAAATTAACTTAACTAATTAGTGAATTGAAAATTCTAATTAAATAGTGGAATTAGTTAAAAATTAATTAAAAAATTGAAAAGAATGTCAAATTGGTCCGCAATAGAACTCAGGTCCATTGAACCAACTCATCATCATCATCGTCATCGTACGGTCGGCAGTAGTGAGACTTGTATGACACGCACTTTCACCCTTTCTTATTCTTAGCTAATTTTCGCATTTTCCTAAAACTAGAACATCCCACATTTTTAACTATTTGTAAACAGTACATTAATCCAATCTAGATCTACTTCTACAATAAGTCTCCACCTACACAAAGAAAATGGAAAACGAAAACTTACCTAAATATTAAAGCGATATTTACAATTTATCCCACTAGTCCGTTGCTTCGTAAGCGAAAATAATAAAAACTACAATTTGGATCCGAATTTGTAAAAATAAAATTCCAGCAGAAATAAATTTACTAGGTATTTTAGTTGATATTACAAATTTAATTGTAACGTAAACTTGAAATAATTTCTAAAGGAAAATGTTAAAATTAAGATTATTACAAGTTACCTCATAAATGCTATTATTTCTCCTGCAAATTCAGTCATTTACAATCGAAAATTATAATGTTTGCGTTGTCATAAAAATTTAGTTATCTCCGTGTAGCCCTTCATGCTTGAGTAGGTGTTAGAGAAATATTGTAGGACATTTCAACCTATCCCACCTACTTCCATGGGACCCTCTCTTCTCCTACCCTTTCTTATATCTCCTCACTTCGCACCTTCTCTATCGGCGGTATCCTCATCATTCGCCTATAACACTTCATTTCGAACGCTTTTAACCATTTCTGTTCGGCAGCGCTCACCGTCCACGTTTCACACACGTACAACGTCGTACTCTAGACAGTAGATACTTTTAATAATATCCTCCGATTTTAACAATATTCTTCGATTTTCTAAAGTAACCGTTCACGAGAATAGAAGTAACTTCTTTTTGTTAAAGGCGACTAGACCATTATGCGTTATTCTTTCTTTTATATCTCTACTGCTTTTTCCATCCTGAATTATCTGACTTTTTACTATAGGACAATATTTTGTTAATATTTTAAAATATTGATTTTGGGCATTTTATGTACTTTGACTCATCTAGGTAGTCAATTGTATATAATAACGCTTCCTTATCAGTAAATAAGGCCACGAGGAATGTCAATGCTGTTTTCGATCACAAGTACGTTTGACTCACACATGAGGCGGACAAAAGACAAAATAATTGATAAACCAGTTAAAAAAATGCCAATTTCGCACTGAAAAATTATGATCGTTGCCTTTTCAATTAAATATTACTTATTATTGTGAATAAATTTTTATTTTTAGGGAGTAATCGTAGTATGCTTTAATGTTTATGTTCTTAAAGTGCGGAGATATCAATGCCAGATCAAGCGTGAAACTGTGGAGGGTAGAGGTAAGGATCCCTCATATGGGGGAAAAATTGAAAAAGAGTTAAACTATAAGCAGTGAATAACAGTTCAAAATCCCTTTACAATGGCGCTAGCGTAGGCAAAAGTATGGTATGAATATAGCAGTTGTTGAAGGATCGAAGTATGCCGAATTAGAAAATTTAATATTTTCAGTAACTATAGTTGTTGGTGACAGTCCAGTATACCAAACCTCAACTATTTACGTAGTTTAAAGTAATTTTGTCCTTGTTTATTTTTCTATCTTCCCTGTTGCTACTGTGGCGCCACCCTAATTTAGCGCAGTTTGACGGACAATTTTTCACAACACAGATAGTACTCCTTATTCTCTACCCTCCATACCGAAATATCTTTCGTTTATTTTCACCTAGCAGAAAACTTTTCAATTAAATGTACACGTACTGCAGTTTAAGTTCTTAAGTGCGGAGAATTCAATGCCAGGTCAAGCGCGAAACCTACAGAAAATAGCAGCGTTCGTTTGTTTTCACCTAGCGGAAAAGCTTTTAGTTAAATGTACACGAATTACAGTTTTCAGCACTTTATAGAGAAATACTCGTTGTAGTTTCCTTTCCTCTACAGAAGCCTTTTTAACTTCAATACATTCAAATCAACACCTACTTGGAATAATTTTTTTTCGAGGAAAATTAATTTACTTCCCTAATATTAATAATGGCTTTAAGAAAAACACACGAATGTGTGATTTTACTTTATTAATATATAAAAGCAGGAGTGATTATAATCTTATCAACCAACAAACCCTAAATACGCTTTAAATATGAAAAGAATTAGGAATTTAATATTTAAGATAAGCATAATAAAGATGCCTTTCAATTATGTTTCAAAAATTAGTCTTTCTGTAAAATCTGCACTACATAAATCCTTTCTATTCACATTTCGATTCAAGAAAATACAACGGAAGGAGAGAGAACCAATTTCGTTAATAAACTTAAGTGAAGTTCTCTGCGTAGAACTGACTTAAGTCGCTTTATACATATACACTAGATGGTACCAGTGCCTGGGTAGCAGTTACCTTTCTATGTTTTAGAAGGAACATAAACCTGTAATAAAAAATACACTGCAGGAATTGCTATTATTCTATAGAGTTCTTTTACACTTCCGAAATCTGCTCCAAATATAAGATATAAAGGGAAATATTATCGCAATTGCTTATTTGTCCTATCAAATAAAAAATTAGTCTATAATATATAATTTCTGCTTATTCTTATTTAATCTGATAAAACTTTTGGTAATACAAGAAAATTAAAATCTTTAAATGTTTTAAGCATTCTCTTAACACTTTCCGATCAATTCGACTTATGTCTTTTTCAAGAACGATACAGTTTTAGGGATCGCAGTTTTGCATTTGGAGAGGCCTTTGACATTCCGAAATTATCATGGAATTTTTGTAAAAACACTTCTAACATTTAAAAGCTCTTTGTTTCAATTTACCACCAGTCACAATAATAAACTTATACCATATATTTGATAATAATTACCGACTTCGTTTGAATGGATATCGCATTCAGAAAAATTCCTTGAAAAAGGAAAACTTTAAAAACTTTCATGTATTTTACTATAGAGTTATTTCTAAATGTAGATTCATCATACCTAAGGACAAAGGAAAACTTAAAAAGAGAATTACTCGAGTTACCCCTAAACTAGTTTCTTGCGGCCCCATTAGAAGTAGCGAAACACGTGACTGCAAGTGAAAATTTTAATGTTAACAAAGGTTTTGAGTCTCTTTTCCTCCTTTTTAGCCTATCCATTATTTATTTACTTANCAGGATCAAAATAATGATCGGTTTAAAGAAGTTTTTCGAATCTAAGAGAGTTTGAAGTAATAAGACAATGGAATACAGTCACAACCTATAGAAGCCTTAAAAACACAAATATTTATTAGTAACTAAGCTTATTATTACAAAATACTTTACAGTTTATGGTGATCACAGGAATAACCAGAATATGATAACTTATCAATTGAAATAAAAGTAATTTTCATATATATTTTTATAATGACGATCTGGTCGAAATAATTGTATAATAAATTTAACACTTCTACCTATATCTATTGTAGAAATTATTTACTAGACAACTACACACAGTGTGGAACGCATTTACCATAAAAATCCAATTCTTTTTTTATTTTCTCATTGAAATTGTTGTTTTTCGCATTACCATTTTGTTAAGACTGAGATTTCACGTTTTTAAAAATGCTCTTCATGATAGTAATATAAGATTTTAATCTGATATTGTCAGGTAATTACATCCCAATTTTTTTATAAAAGGCACTTAGAATCAGGACCGGCCTGGCCAGTGTTGACCTTGCTAGCTATAAAACTTTGGCCCCAAAAATTAAAAAACTATAAGCAAAAACATTAAACGTTTTAAATCCTATAACCATCGTATGTAAAAACTCATAACTCCATAAGGCGAGATTATTAAATCCAATAGCCTCGTATTAAAAACCCTTTAAGTTCATAACCTAAGGGTTTATAATCCCCATACCCTTATAATGCTTAGAGAAACAATAATGTTAAAAATTAAAGCTGCAGCGATATCTATGTGCTTTGTAGTAGTAATAATTGAAATCTCTTTCAGCAGAAAATAGGATAAAAGTTTCTAAAAACTTATGAGTTTTTATAATTCTTAAGTGAAGATCCACTCAAATGAAGCTTGAGTACTAATGTAAATATAATTATTGAATTATTGGGAGCACATTAATTTTTTTTTTAATTATTCGCATTGGCTTTTACGATTAATTTTATTTGGCCCCCACAATTACTTGGCGCGGATGGCGATCCTTACCTGGCCGCAAGGGCCAGCCTGACCTTGCTCACACCCTATTTCCAAGTTTTCGTTTTAACTTTGTATTCCTTTATTTACATCTTGTGACATTACTAAAAGTTTTGCTGTTTTCCTTGATATGTTTAAAATCAGCCATACAAAATAAAAATTACGTATGTAGGTAATACAGGGTATTTTTGAAATAAGTAGCAAGTTTTGGAGGGTGTTAACTAAATGTAACAGCGAATCGCATGGTGAGTAAAGCAGTGTAGTTAAGGGGCAATAAAATTTGTAAGAAAACTAGTTCAAGTTGCCATCCGAAGTCGTCTTGCCGGGAATTGACAATGTACGAGGGCGGTTCAATAAGTACCCGTGTTAGAAATGAAGATATTTCTTTTTTTTTTATTTTTTATTTTTCAAAATAGTCCCCTTTTAGAAAGATACACTTCTCCCAACGTCCCTTGCATTTTTGTTTTATTTTTTATTTTTCAACTTCTCTACTTTAAATGCAAAATTCGCATTCTAGTAACTGCATTGCCTTATTTTAAAATCTGATCAGTTTTTGTTAGATTAACTTTATCCATACAATATCAAAAATCCATCCGTAAATTTTATTATTGGAGACCTTATTGTAACAGCTTTTGCAATAAAATAACTTTAAATATCACAATCACATACATACATAACTACGTGCTGAATTTTTAGAAAGTGTGTTGCTTCGACAGCGCATCAATAATGAATGAGAAGTTTAACTAATTTTAGTCAAAATGAGTACGCCTATAGTTTTGACTGTTGACATTGCTGACACAGGTATCGTCCTTTTTTCATTGACCTCTAGGAGGTCAGTGTGATTTTGTGTTGCACATCCAGTTAATTTTATTGTCGAACAATGAACTATTGGGATGTATCAATTATTAATTTTGACCCTTTGTAACCTTCGAGAGAGTTACTTCTGTAAAGTGACACTAAATAATTAATCATTACTTTTACAATTTACGTTTCTTTGACGGTCCATGAGATACATATCTCGAGTCAAATCTTACCAAAATACATTGAGGAATTTGAAAAAGTCTCATTGCTGTTAATGATATTATGAAAAAGGTAAATGAAAGTCACAATTAACACTTTAGACGCAAAGCAATTGAAAAGGATTAGTAAGCGTGAATATAACAAAACAAAGTTTAAATTCTTTTCAATTTTTCTTAAAGTATTCTTTTGTTATTAACTTTTCGCATCAACAAATTTTCTTAAAACTTTTCTTAATTTCCTTTTACTGAAGAAAAGTTCGTTTTAAAGTGAATGGTTCTATTGGAAGGTGATGGTGCATCGTGTGTTACACATGGTCATCGCCTTGAACTTGTTCTATGAACTTGGAAGGCGCGTCTTTCAAAAAATTCAATTGCAACATGCTTATTATTACGTGCGTCTGCAGTGGTCGAAGAATTTCTTCGACATTTCTTCGACAACAGCCGGCACATTACCATAGAAAGGAGGGGCGTCTAGGGCCAAAGTATGTCAGCCAACATGGTTTCTTAGCCATTCGTACCGCGGACATTCGTCGAGTGAGCGATTGCCGGAATATGTCCTGATTGTTTTCATTCGATATCCGGCATCTATAATGAACTTGGTGCTTTAAGGAAAAACAGTGACAACGTGACTCGAGACTTTATGATCAAAAAATGTGTCGACTTCTTGTTGTGTTTGTGTGCCTCTTATCCGGTGCCTTTGCGGCCGATATGGATTTTAATAATATCTTGGACGGATTCAATCCAAAAACAATAAGTGAAGCTCTTAAAAGTACTTTTTTGAACGCAAACTTAACAACGCCTGACTGTAAAAATGCAACGAACGGATGTTTGCAAACCGAAGTTGTGACATACCTCGAACATGTGGTTGAAGCGCTGAAAAGTTTTGATATAAGAGAATTAATACGGTTTCCAAAGAATAATAACACGTTTGATGATTTTGAGGAAACCAATGAAGTCGACAAAAGCGACGAAACTTTTCGAAAAGACCGAACACCTTTGGAAGAGCTCGAGAAACGTTTCTCTAAATTCATGTTTACTCATGACATACAAATTAATTTGCCCGATACTCTGTTCGATTCAAACGTGCTGCAAATATCACCTCGAGCTGGAAAAGGAAAGGAAAAAGGAATCATCGCTCAGTTCAAGATTCTTTCCAATAAGATAACCAAAGGGAAACCAAGAATCTTTCATAAGATTAGTATGTACTTTTTCAAATAAGAGTACCTATTTCTCTATGATTTTTTTCCACTTTTATATACTACACTACTTAATCTTACTCCTTGACATCTTCACTCAAAAACTAACATTTCACGTATTTTACAAAAATACATAAAATTGAAGGCAGTGCTTATGTAAAGTGGAGCTTACATATGCCTTATAACATTAGTAAGTAACATGTTACATAAGCAATGCTTCAAATTTCAAATGCCAGGCCGTTTACACAAAAGCACAGTAGTTTCTTTGCACATAATAAATTAACGATTACGATTCGATACATGTTTACGGATTTTTAAATTTTTCAGAAAAAATTGGTGAAAAGTTGAAGAACGCTGTCCTGGCCCTAATCCTTTTCTTCGGACTAGCTAAAGTCTTAATTTCATTCTTGCTTCCATTAGTGGTAGGAGTGGCAACGGCTAAGAAGATTTTGGTGAAGGTCCTCCTTTTCGTGTTTCCATTTTTGGCATTCTTCTTTAAATTGTGCCCATTTACTCCATACGGCACCAAATTCCACCATCACCATCACCACATATCACACGCTCATCAACTTCCACACACACCTTCGTTCGTCTACCATGATTTGAAGCATGAGCATCACCCGCACCATCACGATGTCATTACAGGACCTGACTACCACTCGGAAGGACCAGCTTTCGCTAACGAGTAAGATTTTTTTACCACTTTTATTATACGAGGGTGGATTGATAAGTTTCCGGCCTAACCAAGAGATGACGCCACTAGGCCTACCTTGAGGTGACATTCTATAGTACCATCCTTGGATAGCTTGTAGCTATAGTTTCAGCCCGATCTCCT